GTGCGCGAGCCCGTGTGCGTAGCGAGGTGCGCCCGCATCGTCTTCTGCTTCGGAAACGACATGTCACACACGCGGCAGTGGTAGGGTTTCTCGCCCTGGTGCTTCGCCTCCATGTGACCCTTCAGCTGACGCTTGAGCTCGAACGCCGCCGGGCACGTGACGCACTTGTAGCGCGGCTCCGTCGTCCCGCCTCCGTCCGTCCCCGGCGCTGCTGCCGCGCACGCTCGCTTGTTTCGCTGTGTCGGCCTCCCCGCTGCGTCGTTGGTCGCAGGAGCTTCGACGCCCGGAGCGACAAACGCCTCGGTATTGTTCGTCGAGTCTCCGTTCAAGAGCTGGTTGGTGGTAGCGCGTGCCATCTGCCGCGTGGTGGCGCCGGTGTCGGGCAGCATCTAGCGGCAGCAAGTTAGGGTTAGTACTGTTACACTGGGTTTACACTGCCAACTTTATGTTGGCGAATTGGACCAGTTTCGCAATTCGGTAACTCCGAGTTGGCGAAAATAGAACATGTTCTAATCTCCCAACTAGTTGCTATCAACCAGTTGCTCGCGCAACTTTCGCGTTTACACTGCCGATTGTCGGTTGTATAGTTGTGAAGTTGGTCCAGTTCGCTTCAATGGTCGATAATTTTCTAATTTAACCCCAACTTACCCCTGACAGCTAAAATATCAAACACAATCATTTATTTCTTACATATGAGCTACGATGGTTTATAAATACATACAGGCTACGTTTTTAATTCACTCGTAACATACACAAACTTACAGAACTCGCAGAATCAGCTGCTGCCGGTGCTGGTACAGATTCTGCTGCTGATGCTGCTGCTGCTGCTGATGCTGCGGCGGCTGCTGCTGCTGTACGGGCCGATCGCTTCACATGTACTCCTTGTCCGTCGCTGCCGCCACGGCCCCATGGACGCGCACGTGCTGCGCCAAGTGGTCTCGCTCGACGTACGCCGCTGCGCACAGGTGACACTTGTATGGCTTCTCGGCAACGAGATGCTGCGCGGCGAGGTAGTCCAGCGCGCGAAACGCGGCCGGGAACGCAGGCGGGGTAGCGGTAGCGGTCCTCGGCGTGCGTGCGGAGGTGCTGAGCGAGGTGGTCTCGCTCGGTGAACTTGTGAGCGTACGGCTTGTCCCCGTGCGCCGGCGCCGGGGGAGGGGGAGGCGGTGGTGGTGCTGGCGACGGGGGCGGAGGAGGGGGCG